CCCTCTCTCCCTCTCTCCCTCAATAGCTCTGCTTTTCCAAAGGTCACTTGAACTTTTGTAAACAATAAGTAAAGCACACAGTTCCACTTTTGGACTTTGAATTCCAAAATGCCTCATGGTCAATTCTCTGCATTTGTCAAAACTTCAATTTTCCAGATTTATTTCCCAAAAAATGTTTGTGGTTCTCACAACATGAACAGGTCAAGTGAATAGACGAGAATGTGGTAGATGGAATATAATGTGAATGTGTGAAATTGCCACTTTGGTATAAATAAAAGTTAAATGGTGAGAGGTTGGGAGAATATTGGTGCCTAGAGAAGCATGGCTGACCTTGTTCACGAGTCACAAAAAAGCTACCGTGCAGATCCAACAGTCAGTAAAGGAAGCAAATATTATTTGTTTTTTGTCACCAAGGGATTTGAGTGCATATGTAAAGATGTCTTTCTGTAATTGTATAAAGTTTTGGTAAGACCTGCACCTGGAGAGTTGTGGAGATAGCAAGGACTACAACTGCTGAAAGTCAGAGTCGATAAAACGTGAAGCTGGAGGAGCACAGCAGGTCAGACTGCATCTGAGGAGCAGGAAGGTTGACGTTCTGGGTCAGGACCTTTCACCAGTCACATTGAAGAGTCCCTATCCAGAACATTGACTTTCCTGCTCCATGGATGCTGTCTGACCTGCTGTGCTCCTCCAGCTCCACATTTTATTGGCCCTGGAGAGTTGTGTATGGTTTTGCCCTCCCTTACCTAAGGGCGAATATGCTTACCATAGATGGAGTGCAACAGAGGTTCACCAGACTGATCCATGGGATGATGGCCTTGTCTTACGAGGAGAGATTGAGGAAACTGTATTCTCTCAGGTTTTGAAAGATGGGATGCGATATCATTGAAAGTTCCAAAATTCTTGCTGGGTATGTCAGGGTGGGTGTAAATTGGATGAAATTCTTATTTGGTGAGGTGAGAACTTGGGATATATTCGCAGAATAAGGAATAAACCGTTTAAAACAGATGTGCAAGAATTTTTTCATTCAGAAGATGGCAAATCTTTGGAATTCCCTACCCCAAAGGGTTATGGAAGCTCAGTCATTGAGCATGTTCAAGACAAGTCTGAAGACTAATGACCTTGTGATATGGAGACAGTGTTGGAATGTGGCATTGAGGTGTATCTCAGTCATGATCTAATTGAATGGCTGACCAGGTTCAATGCGGTGAATGGATCACTCCTGTGTTATTAAGGTTCCAGTTTTAAGTCCCACTTTAAGACCCAAACACACAAATCTTGGACTTGAGTCAAGGTTGACACTCTAGTCGGGTACCTAGGGTCAGAGGTACCATCTTTCTGGTTACATACTAAACCAAGGACCTGTTTGCTTGCTGAGGTGGGTATAATATATCCAAAGGCTATTATAGGAAGTTCTGCTATAATGCGTGTTTCATTAATGCAAATCGGCTGTAACGTGATTGATGAATAGTGGACGCTGTTTGGATAACGCGAACTTTCTGCTGTACAAGTATAGCGATTTTCTATCGCATGATTTTCTAAAGTGCTAACTCGCACAAGAACACAAGAATCGTGATATAGGTGTACTACCTGTATTGAAGAAAAACAGGAGTCATCTCTGGTATCCTGGCCAATAATTATCCCTTAATCAACACCACAAAAGCAAACTATCTGAGATATTTAAAAACACCAGCTCCATTCCCAAATACCCTGTCCCCGCACCTATTGTGTACCCCCTTACTACTTTTGTCTGTTAAATGCAGTCTTAGCCTGTGCAAGATAGGAAGCTTATCATGAATAAATCAATGCTTGACCTGAGCTACCTCTTGGTTTGGAATAACTGATGCTGCAATATCATACTAAATAAAGCTTTCCAGTGCTGGAAAGCCAAGCAAATATTTGCCATCCAAATGAAAGAAATTTGTTACATATTTTCAGTTCTACATAAATGATTTGGGAAAGTGGAGTTATAACAGAGATCAGCCATGATCTATTGAATGACAAAACAGTTCAAAGAGTCATTTAACTTACCTGTTCTGTTTCTCACTTACTCAAGCATTCATGCTTGTAAGAATCTTTTAGAAATTTATCATTCCAGTTAAGCAAACAGTAAAACACTGACTGCAGCATTTGATCATTGTGAAAAAGTAACAACTAATTGAAGTCAGTCAGTGGTATTGGTTGAAGCCATATATTTCACTGTTAGGGAAAGTAGGCATAATAATTATTCAACAGACAATTAATCAAAGATGAAGAACAAGAGATTCTAAAGAAAAAAGCAAGTACTTTTTTTTTTCCAATCCTGTCACTTTATCTTCTTTTAAAATTACAAAGCAATATGACAACCCTGGTCTCTTAGCTCCTCTTGTGCTTCTGCTTCCTGTTGCAGGCGATATTTTACATCTTTCCTAGTTTATCAGATGTTATAGAAGATGAGTGGATTCCTCCCTGGAAGTTCAGCCGAGTTATGAATCGCATGTCCTCCAGTTCTTCCCTTAATATATTTAACCCTAGGAATCAACTTTGTGATGTAAAATTAACAGACTGGATTCAGCGAGACAAAGGTACAATTTATGTTGCCTGCTCTGGTTTTTACAATAAGTATGCATGTTTTCAATCTGACTATTCAAGTATATATGCGTATAAATGTATCCACTGGCTAGCCTACACCTTTTGCATCCACAGTCTGGAAGGAGGTTTTTACATTGTGCTACAACCCTTTCAACTTGGGTGGCCAGCTTTACCTGATGGTAAATTATCTGGATTCAGTAGTAAAAGCTAAGTTTCCTATTTACACATCTTAAAGACTAACCGATTATTTTTCAGGTCACTGTGTAATACACATGTTGGCAGTTGATACCAATAACCCTAAATCTCAGTCAATTTAGGGACAAGTAGGTGACATATTAGTATGCAGGGATGTTTTTGTACCAAAGCAACACACTGCTTCTCTTTAATAATTACTAATAATGAATAATTAATTATGCAGATTAAACATTAATTGTTATTAATCTACACTATGCGGATTGCCACAGAAAATATTTAGCCTGTGTAGGTAGCAACAATCATTAATGTACAGAGATAGTGGGAACTGCTAGTGCTGGAGAATCTGAGATAACAAGGTGTAGAGCTGGATGAACTCCAGCAGGCCAAGCAGCATCAGAGGAGCTGAAGAAAAATCTGAAGAAGGGTCTAGACCTGAAACGTCAGCTTTCCTGCTCCTCTGCTGCTTGGCCTGCTGTGTTCATCCAGTTCTACACATCATTGATGTACAGTTAGGTTTAACTCCTAATGGCTTACCAGTAAGCTAACCAAGTGTCATGAAGTCCCTAAGAGCCACACAGAATAATTCTCCTACCATCTCCCCGTACCCCTTGATTCCCTTAACAGCCAAGAACCTATCTATCACTGTCATAAATACACTCAATGACTTAGCCTTCATGCCTTTTGTGACAATGAGTTCCACAGATTGGATCAGCCATTATCTTGCTGAATGACAGAGCTGGCTGAAGATGCTAGTGCTTGCTCCTGCTCTGTTCCGATGTTCAGCATATCATCACTTGGCCATATTAACTACCCTTCCGGTAAACATCAGGTACTGCTAGCCTGCATCCTGATTACTGAGGTGGGATATTCCAGAGTATAGGACCCAGGCAGCTGCAGGTATCACGAACGGTGATGGGAATGAAGTTCCAGTGTAAGTCAGGAAGGATAGGACTGATAGGTGAGTGGAATTTGAAGTGAGTGCCCTTGCGTCTGGCAGAAACATCTTTAATTCTGCATAAAAATCAGTAATAAGTATAGATGATGGAGACTGCTTGGCTCATCAAGCTATTTCTGGATCTTATTCAAAATGAGACTCCAGAGATCAAAGGAATACATTATACAATTATATACAGATCCTTAGAAGGTTGATTGTCAATGACCTTAGGCTTTAAAATGAATTTTAACTCACTTTATCTCTCTCTAAGTGAACAGCTGTCACTAAAAATCTGATCCTTTTCAATTGCGAGGGCCAAAAAAAACTACATATGTTGGCCTTGCTATTGTGCCATAAAATTTAAGTAACTTGCCAGTATCTCTGGATTTTAATAATCTTGTCACGAGCTACCAGGTTAACTTCAAAGTGACTGTATTGGCGAAATATTCCTGTCAAGAATAGCATAAGAAGTTCGATCATCTTCAGACCCATTGCAATCCATCTGCCCAGTCTCAGTGGCTTACCTTGGACCACATTTGTGGCCAAATGCTCCCCTTTTTTAAAAACGTTGGCATTTGTAAGCTGTGTATGGTTCTGAATTAATGATAATTTAATTGAATTATCACATGAATGTTCAAAAGACCTGCATTGATCAGCATTGCAGCAGATGTTAAACATCCAATCTGATTATTTACATTTACCAGAAGAGTAAGAGGGCAATTTGGAAATCCTATAAGATGCACATAGACTTGAAATTGAGGTGTGTCACAAAATAGTCAATATTCTGAATGATTACTTTGTTCCAGGTGCTCATAAGCAAAGACATTATGCAATCGAATTACTTTAGATTTTTTCCTGAAATCATATAAATAAAAATCTGAATATATTCTACTTATTTCACATTAAGAGATCCATTGGGAGGTTTGTGAAACCCTGACAATTCTTATGTAATTTACTTGGTGAACATCTTTTAAATAGTGACATTTTCATATCCATTTGTGGTTCTTATAATTTTGCTCGTGTTGATGTTTTTATTCACTTTTTGGTATTTATTTAGTTTAGATTGGAGCAACAGAATGAATTTCAGAGCTCAAGTTTCAGATGGTTGCTAACTTATCTATAGTCAAGTGCCAATATTAATTTTACACTTGGAACAGCATCCAGTTTTGCATTAAATGTAACACTGCCATTTAATTGGGTATTGAGGGATTCGAGTGCTTTTTGATGCCACTTTATCAGTGTAATAGAAAGTGTACATGCCTTTAAAGGTAAATTTGATGAAGGGACCTAATAATTCACTGCTTTTCTACTGTACTGTAACACAATGGATTTGTTAGGAATTAGTATTCCAAAGGTATAGACTAATATTACAGAAATGTGAGTTTGAACCCCAGCCGACTAACTGGGGAATTTAAATACAAATAATTAAACTAAAACTTTAGTTTCCAGTAAACATAACCATGAAAATAAAAGATTGTTGAAGGGTCAACTGATTTACTAATGTCATTCTTACCATGTCTGATCTATATGTGACTCCAGACCCACAGTAATGTGTTTGGCTTTTAACTGTTCTCTGAAATTGTCTGTATAGTGGACAAGGGCAAACTGTATTGTATTCAATGCATTTTTTTCCTCATTCAAGTTACAAAATTCTTACACGGACAGAGTAAATGCATGATGTCTCCTTTTGGCTGAAAGCCCTAGAGCCAAGGGATGCAGTCTCAGAATAAGGGAAGGCCATTTAGGACTGGAATTAGGAGGAATTTCTTCACAGACTTTGGTAAATCTTTTGGAATTCTCTGCCCTGGAGTAATGTAGCAGCTCAGTCATTGAATATGTTCAAGACTGGAGTTGATAGATTTTTACACAACGAAAACATCAGGGGATCTAGAGATAGGGAAGGAAAATGATGATAGAATCATAGGACCCCTGCGGTGTGGAAGCAAGCCATTTGGCCCATCGAGTCCACACTGACCCTCCGAAGAGCAATCTACTTCTGCCCCCACCCTATCTCTGTAACCCTGCATTTCCCATGACTAATCCACCTAGCCTGGCACTGTGAGGCAGCAGTGCTAACCACTAAACCACCATGCACCCTTCTTTAAAATTGATTTGTAGATGTTAAAGTGGATTAGTAAATTTCTTTGATGTTAAATTAGATGATCAGCCATGATCTCATTGAATGGCGAAGTGGAATCGAAGGGCTGAATGGCCTACTTCTCCTATTTCTCATATTCTTATGATGTGTAGACTTCGAAAACAAATGATTGCAGAGAGTGGGAGGTGTGGGGAAATGATTGCAGGGAGGGGGAAAAGTACTGACAAAAATGTTGCTGCTCCCACGAGTTGCCGGAGCCTTCTTGATCCCGCAGGAATCACTCTGTAAAATAGTGGATGGTAGTGGAGGACATCTTTTGCTCCCTAATTGCAGTCGTTTTCTTCCACACTTTTCCTGAAGCCATGAGTGTTGCTAACCTTGCCTGATGACTGTTCTTAACCTGATTGTTAATTTGAACAGCAGAGATTGGAGAGGTGAAACTGTGGCTAAGCCCTCTCCAATTCTCACCAGAGGTTCAAGTGCATTGTCCAGCCAGAATATCATCCAGGGCAAGTTTTTTTGCAGAACTTTATTTCAAATTCATGTGAAAACATCCAGAAGCATGGAGTAGAAGATGACTATCGAGTTCACAGATTCAGAATCAGAGAAATATTGCAGTGCTGAAGAAGGCTATTCAACCCATCCTGCCGTGTACTGGCTCTTCAAATAAGCATCATTTACCTTGTGTCAATATCTTGCTTTTTCACTATAATTTTATATATAATTTTTATCCAAATAATTACCCAATGCTGTCTTAAATGCCTCAATTGAACCTGCCTCCTCTGCATTTCCAGGCTGTGCATTTGATACCCAAACTACTAGCTGAGTGAAAAAGTTTTTTCTTATGTCATCCTTGCTTCTTTTGTTTATCACGTTTACTCTTTTGTCTTCTTGTTCTTCTTCCTTTTTATGAGTGAAAACAAGTTCTGAGGAAGGGTCACCAGACCCGAAATGTTAGCTCTGATTTTTTTCTTCACAGATGCTGCCAGACCTGCTGAGCTTTTCCAGTAACTTCTGTTTTTTTCCCTTATTTACAGCATCTGCAGTTCTTTCAGTTTTTAACAGCTTTTCCTTATCCACCCTAACCAACCCACTCATGATTTTAAAAGTCTCTATTAATTCCCCTCCTAGCCAAGGAGAACAACAACAATTTCTTCAACCTGTTCTCATAACTGAGGTTCCTAATTCCTGAAACCATTCAGGTAAATCACTTCTGTACTTTCTCCGATGCATTCACTGATTTCCTATAATGTGGCACGCAGAACTGTACGCAGTACTCCAGCTGTAGTCTAAGTCAATATGAATCTTTTGCTTTTTGGCTTCTCCAATGCTCTGAAGTGTTGAAGGTTCTGAAGTTTCACTTGGCTTGATACGTTTGACTATTATTGGTTTCATTTAAATACTTTTCCCACTCTGAAGGCAGCACGGTGGCACAGTGGTTAGCACTACTGCCTCACAGCACCTGGGACCCGGGTTCAATTCCAGCCTCGGGCGACTGTCTGTGTGGAGTTTGCACATTCTCCCTATGTCTGCGTTGGTTTCCTCTGGGTGCTCTGGTTTCTTCCCAAACTCCAAAAAGATGTGCAGGCTAGGTGGATTGGCCATGCCAAAATTGCTCGTAGTGTTCAGGAATGTATAGATTAGGTGGGTTATGGGTGGGCGCTCTGCGGGTCGGTGTGGACTTGTTGGGCCGAAGGGCCTGTTTCCACATTGTAGGGATTCTATGATTCTGATTCAATCATTTCCATTCTTTAAAATTTAATGCATCCCCAGTTTTAGCTTTGATTTCTTTCTGCTTCCTTGAGTTACGGCTTA